AGCAGGCAATAAACAAAAACTTCCTTCTTCCATGTCCTTATTTAGGCTTCCAGCAGAAGGTTGGGCCCAGATTAAAGGTGTATCTTCCAACCTCAACATCCAGATCAAAGGCATGTATTTGTCTCCCTACCTAAAGATGTGTCTTACTACCTCAGAGGTCCAGACAAATGTTGATTCACCAACTTCAAACCAAGCAAAATAATATCTCACAGGTGTGCCTCTCACTTATGAATTGCAGTTCATTTCAGATGTAGTCAAGTTGACAATCAAAAATAGCCATCACACCTAGCAATGCCAGAAGTTACATCTATAAAATCTCAACATCCTGACCACCCAAAAGTGCACTGAGCAAAGACAAACACATTGGAGATGTCAAAGTGGACAGGGAAAAGCCAACAGCCCTTAATCCTACAAAGAACTGGGAAATGGTGGTAGCGGGAGAAAGAGTCTCCCTTGAGGAAGAGCACACTGACTAGTTATTCAATACCAAATGGTCAGCCATACAAAAATACAGAAAAGTAACATTATATGAGTAGTTTACTTAGGAATATATATTTATATATAGAGAGAGACATATATGAATACAATGAAAATTAATGAAAAAGAAGCCACAAATTTGAAAGGAGATGATTTGGTGGGAGGAAAGTGAGGGGAAGGTTCTAATTACATAATAAATTAAAAATGTAAAAAAAAAAAAAAGCAAAACTAAAATAAAGGAACAAACAATATCAACAAATCCAAACTAAGACCAAAACATACAAAGAAAAATTATATACCTATCCAAGAAATGGTTTTAGCTTTCATGCTACAATGGCAATGATCATAAATAGAAATGAGAACTAATGTTGGCAAAAATGTGGAGAAGGAAGTCAAACACTATTCAGTCTAGATGTCTCACACAATAAATGAATAAATGAAAAAAAGAAAATTACTGTGTGAGCCCATTACAGCACTGATGTGTGACACTATTCCTGTGTCAATGACAAAGAATTCCTGGAAACAATGACAAGCATCTACTAAAGGCAGAAAAGGAGCCAAAGAAAACCAAAGTTGGAAAATCAATAAAGTCTAATTTGGTGAACCAATAAGTGTTTTGTCTGAATGTTTATCTCTGTACCTTGTGTGTTCCTGGTGCCAGCAGAGGCCAGAAAAGAGTGTTGGATGCCCTGGAGTTGAGGTTACAGATTGAGTGCACATGTGAGGGTCCTGGGAATTCAAAGTGAGTCTTCTGAATGAGCAGACAGTGCTCTTAATCACTGAATCATCTCAAAAGCTAAGTGGACCAGTGAATTTTATTGGGGTGACAAGTCTGGGTGAGGGGTTACTTACAGAAGCACAAAGGAATTAATGACAGCTGCATCACCCTGTGAGGGTGATGGCTAATGGAGGTGAAAACTTGGGGATCTGTGCATAGCTTGTAGGCAGCTCAAGGGATATTGGAAGTGTGTATTTCAAGCCACTCACTATCTCCTCCAGGCAGCTTGTGTTGTCTTGTCTGGTCCAGGCAGCTTGACTGGTGTCTGCTTCATGGCTGGTCTGAGCACCTTCTGTGCAGCTCACTTTGTCTGACAATGTCAGCAGTCCTTACCAATTATATATACTTGAGGGCTTGAGGCAGGAAGGCATGAGTGAATTTTGCCAGTTTCTGTGAGTTCCTGAAGGTACTGAGTCCTTTATTTCTGAGCTTAAGGACCTTATCTGTAGAACTGAATGTATCACCTCCAGTTATAGCATCCCATTAGTTTATCTCTTTCAAATCCTTGCATTTTAAAGAGCTTTCTCCAAGATGGAGGTGTTTCATCTCAGAGAAAATTGGTACACAGTAATCACTCCTGCCTATTAACTCCAAGAACTTGGCATCTTATCACTAAGCACTTGCTCAACATGCTCATTGCTGCTTTTTTTTTTTCACACTAATGGAATCAACTCAGCTATCCATCAACTGACACATGGGTAACTGAATTGCCATACATATCTACAAAGCTGTGTTAGTTGCAAATAAAAATGAAAGTGTGAAATCTGGATGTAAATGTAGGCAATGGCAAATACAATGAGTGATGCCAACTAGATCTCAAATGTTAAACATCACATGTTTTCTCCCATTTTAGTCCTAGTTTCAACCTTAAGTTTCCTTTGTTCAGTAAGAGTACACATAGAAGCCAGAAAGCTAGAGGTGAACCATTAGAAGGAGATGGAAGAAGAGAGGGTAGGTAATTGAACATAGGTGAAATAAAATTGGAAGGCAGAATACTGGGGGCAGAATGGTTCAAATATGTACTGTAGTGGTGGTGAAGAGGGCGCTGCTGAAATGTCAACTGAAACGAGATGTCCACGAAGAAGCTACATGGGAACCTATTATTTTGCAACCCAAGTAAAAAATACAATAAGAAGATAGTAGAACACGTACTATAAAAGAATGGAGTATTGGATAATATTTGCTAGATGTTTAACTGGGGATAAGGCAGGAAGAAGAAGAGTGGGTGGGTTAACCAAAAGTAAAGATGTATGAAGAAGCCTCATGAAATCCCACTGTCTTACAAGTTAATAGGAAATATAATTTTTAAAACTTCGAACAGAGGTTCCCACATGGGTGAATAATGCTGCTCCTAGTCACTAGGGCTATTAAATGGAACTATGTGTACTAAGTATTGGTTACCTGCCTAGGACTTACTGGTCAGGGAGGCCCTAAAGGCACCTCAAACAAAACAGGTCATTGCCAATTGTCTTGTTTGTCACCGTAAGTACATGGTGTTGCTGAAGACACCAAACTCTTTGGTTGCAACACAGAGAGAAATCTTGAATTTACCAGGAAATTCTCCCTCCTGGCTAGCTTTTGCAGGACTGTAAAGAAAAGATGTCAATGGTCTTATCTACTCCTGAATCCTATATCAACCTACAAGCCAGGATGTGTGCACTGGCGTAATACTGGTACAACTGCTTATGGGCATAAACACCCGTCTTGAATTTGATGCTTGCTTCATAGAGGGGAATTTATGCCTTGTACTATAAAAACAATCAAAAAAATCATGGCTTGGGGAGTAAAGGCCAAGGGCAGAACCTACTGATGTTTTCTTAATGATCATGTTGTTAATCTGCCATCTAAATATTCATGCTTATAATTATCAATTTGTACTATTCTCAACCTTAGTGAAAGAAGCCTCTTGCAGTTGATAGTAGGTAATGCAAAGACTCGTAATATTTTTTAAAAAAATTGACTGCCAGGCAGTGGTGGTGCACACCTTTAATCCCAGCACTCGGGAGGTAGAACCAGGCAAATCTCTGAGTTTGAGGCCAGCCTGGTCTATAGGGCGAGATCCAGGACAGGCAGCAAAAACTATATATAGAAACCCTGTTTTGAAAAACCAAAAATAAATAAATAAACAAACAAATAAATAAATAAATAGAATTTGAGAACAAACAACTGTGTTAGCTTGGGACAATTACGATTTCATCATGGTTGAGGGAGGGTCCCATGCATCTCCTTTCACGCCATGAAGGTCTACTGGCAGTTAAGTGCAGCTATATGATTTTAGAGTTTTGAGTGAATACTTCCCCATTTCTCCTCAGTACTTCAAAATTAGTTTCTGTATGCTCTTGGAGATTTCTTTTTTGTTGCTTTTGAGACAAAGTTTCTCTATGTAGACCAGGCTGGCCTTGAACTCACAGAGTTCAGCCTGCCTTTGCCTCCACAGAGCTGTGATTAAAGACATGTAAGACCATACTCTCAGCCTTTGGAGATTTTTTAAGCTGTATGTGAGCATGCTCATGTAATCACAGTCACAGCCAATCTCCTTATAGTTTCTCACCTTCTTGCTGTTTTTAAGGTTTGATTCTTGTATGAAGATTTTGAAGGTGAATGAAAGATGAGACTTTATTAGAGCATATTCTTGTTTCTTTCATAATGAATTCTTTTTATGTCTACAATTTCAGAACTAGGTAAAGGATTTATTAAATTGAATGCATTTCAAGGGTGGAATTTACAATGAACGGCAACACACAGGGATTACATACAGTATAACTTCATATTGTTTCTCAGAACTATGAATTTTGTGATGTACAGCAAAATTAGAGGGCTCTGTCACATTTCTCATCTTACTACATTTTGTCTTCATTATATTTATGTAGTCCTGGCTGTCCTGGAACTCACTATGTAGATCAGGATGGCCTCTGACACACAAAGATCTTCCTGCCTCTGCATTCTAATTGCTGGGATTAAAGACGTGCACCACTTGGCCTGACATTATTATGCTTTTTTTGCACATTGAACAAGATAAATGCTCTTATTACAGCATTTTCCACAGGCTGGAGATATGGCTTAGTGGTTAAAAGCACTGGATAATATTCCAGAGGACCCGTGTTCAATTCCCAACACACACACCACTCACAACTGTCTGTTAATCCAGCTTCAGGGGACCTAATGACCTCTTCTGGCCTTGACAGGGACCAGGCATGAAATACTTGCATACATACAGAAGTACCTGTAGGCAAAGCAACCATATACATTAAGAAAAAAGTTTTCCCATTACTTTTGCAGAATTTTAATATAAACCCTGTGATAGTTTTCTAAGATTTAGACCTTCATTAAAGGCATTCACAAGTTCTTATCTTCATGTTTCTATTATGTATACTGTTGGGATTTGTAAGCAGAGATTTGCAGATAAATGCTACGTCACATTATTTACAATGGTATTTTTCTCTCTAATATGACTTTTCTGATATCTTCTAAAATCGGCAATATGGATATAGAATGTGTCACAGTCTTTGCATTTGTAAAGTTTCTTTCCAGTATGAATTTTCTGATCTGCTCTAAGATATTTGCACCTAGTAAAAGATTTATCACATTCCTTACAACTGTAAGGTCTCTCTCCAGTATGAACTCTCTGATGTGTTATATGAGTCCTGGGTAAAAGATTTCTCACATACCTCACATTTCTAAGGTTTCTCTCCAATATGGATCCTGTAATGCCTTTTAAGATGTGATATTTTAGGAAAGGACTTACCATAATCTTTGCATACAATATCTCTAAAGAATGAGTTTTATGATGCCTTCTAAATGGTTAATAGTGGGTAAAGGAACTGTGTCACAGTCATTGCATTCGTAAGGCTCCTCTCCAGTATGGAGTCTGTAATGGCTTTTAAGATGTGAAAGCTGATGAAAGACCTTGCCACATGCTTCATAACTACAATGTTCCTCAGCAGTATGGATTTTCTGATGTCTCCTGAAACTAGAATAGTGGGCAAAGGATCTATTACATTCCTTACATTTGTAAGGCTTCTCTCCTGTATGCAATTTTTCATGGCTTTTAAGTGCTGAGGACTGACGAAATGACTTTCCACAATCTTTGCATTTATAAGGTTTCTCTCCAGTATGAAGTCTTTGATGTGTTTTAAGACTTGAGCACTGGGAAAAGGATCTGTCACATTCCTTACATTTGTAAGGCTTCTCCCCTGTATGCATTTTCTGATGATTTTTAAATGCTGACAAGTGACGAAATGACTTTCCACATTCTCTGCATTCATAAGGTCTCTCTCCAGTATGAAGTCTTTGATGTGTTTTAAGATTTGTGCACTGGGTAAAGGATTTGTCACAAATGTTGCACTTGTAGGGTTTCTTTCCAGTATGTATTCTCTGGTGTACACTGAGGCTTGTGGCATTACTGAAGTATTTCCCACATTCCTCACACTGGTATGGTTTCTCTCCAATATAGATTGTTTTTTGTATAAGACTGTACGTAGAGTCAAAATAATCATCACATTCTTCCTGCTCTTTCTTTGCAGTGTAGAGTCTCTGATCTTGAGTCATGCTGGAACACAAATTTAAAGATTTCTCATGGTCTTTAGATTTGCAAGGCTCTTCTCCAGTTTGCATGCTTTCATGTCTATCTGGGTTTAATGAATCCATAGAGGCATCCCTGTGATTACTGCATCTGCAGTTACTGGCATTTTCTAGAGTTTCACTTGTTCTATAAAGTCCACATGTGGAGGGGTCATGAAGCACTTTGCCAAGCTCATTACACTGACAAGATTCCTTTTCATTATTCACATGTTGATGGGCAGGATCACATATGCAATCGTTCTCTGGAAAATGAGTACAGTTCAGATTAATAGGGCTTGTTCCAGATTAAACATTTGATAAGTGACTGCGACTGTCTTCCTATGTTTTCTCTTAAGATATGTCAACGAGCAACTATTTCATACAGAGCTCCCGGTATTCGACATTTTCCTTTCACTATAATTGTATGGATTTTCCCAAAAACAGAGTGACAGGCTTCAAGGAAGAAGAAACAAATCACTAAGGAATCAGTAATTAGCTTTGGGATGGAGGTCACTGACTGATTATATTTAGAATACATGTCTCTATTTTTAAAATTTTTTTCTCTGTGAAATTGGTAAAGAAGATTTTAATCCAATCCCAGGTTCACAGTGTTTGTACTTACTAATGTAGAGCAAGGAAGAGCACAGTTCAGAAGTCCCAGTCCCTTTGAAGATTAAAGGCTTACTCAAAAGCATCAAAGGAGAGCCAAGCAGTGGGGGCCCATGCATTTAATCCCAGCACTTGGGAAGCAGAGGCAGGTGGATCTCTGTGAGTTTGAGGCCAGCCTGGTCTATAGAGGAAGTTCCAGAACAACCAAGGATACAAAGCAAAACCTTGTCTTCAAAAACAAGACAAAACAAAACAAAATTTAAAAAAAGCATCAAAGTGTTCATTTTTTCTAAAAAAACAAAAAACAAAAACAAAACAAACAAACAAAACAAAACACATTAGATTCTTCAAAAGTAAGAGAAGCAAAGCAAGAATTTTGCCGAATATGAAAGGCTCTAGATATAGAGCCCAGAGTCTAGAACATTTGAGGCAGGGCTGTCATGGAAAGCTACTGCTTATTTCTACATTCTACTGTCTGAGCTCCACACACTGCTGTGTTTCTTAACTTTCCTCATAGGGTTATTCTCAAGTCCACTCTGTACACAGACCCCACAGATTATTTTACAGAAGGGTATGTGTGTGTATTCTCCACTGGGAAGAAAATGAAGGATGTAATATGAAGACATACATGCATGGAAGACAGTTAAAGAATAATCCTACTTCATGGACTCACATTAGACTTCAAATTTGTAAGATTATTCCAATATGATGTGAGCATAGTCAAATAAAATTGCATTTTGTACTAGTATTCAGTCACCATAATTCAGGTGCAATAAGACAGAATGTCTTCTAACAGCTACAATAGGCATGGATGTATCCTAGGGCCAGGACACTATACTAAGGTAAATGATCAGGAATCCTAGGAAATGAAACTGAATACAACAAAAACATTTCCAGCTCTTGCTTTGTCTTTCACTTGAAGCCTTCACTGCCATCCCACTCTTTCACTAGCCTGCCCTGGTTGTGGCTACTCTCTAGACTCCACATTCCAGGGCAATTTCATTTGCTCCAGACAGGTGACCAGACCTACCTTGCATACAATAATCCACGTGTTCTGTGAGGTAGCCTATGAACCATGGCAGAGTTTTTAGAAAGAATACAGATGTCTAGCACAGTACTCTGCTCAGTACATGAAGAGAACACAAAGTAGTAGAATATAGGAAAAATTTCCCAATTGCTATTTCCTGTCAGATTTACAGCATATTTAGGAAGAATTTTAAGTTGAATTTTAATTAACTAATTTTAATTTCGAGTTTTTCTCACAATGTGAAATGCAGCAATGGACATGGAGCTTTAAGATAATGGGTGGAACCAGACACAAAATCTGTGACCTAGTAGAATCTGTCCTGCTTCCAAGATATGCTAGGGCAATGGTGGAACAGAAATTGTGGGAGCAGCCAACAAATGTCTGATTTTACTTAAGGCTCAATCCACAAGATGGAACCCATAGCCCACACTGCTTGGGTAACCAAGGACCAGTGACTAGACAGCCCAGAGACCTAGGATAAATCAACAACTACTAGAGTAAAGAGGAAAAAAAGGGAGGAAAGTATCAATAAAATGACTCCTAATGATATTCTGCCATATTCATAGATCAGTGTCTTATTCAGTCCCCATCAGAGAAGATTCCCCCGGCAGAAGATAAAGCAGATACAGAGACCCACAGCCAGACAGTATGTGGAGAGAGTCTACATGTGATGTCTCCATCAAATCCATCCCCTCAGAGCTCAGGGCACAATGCAGAAGAGGAGACAAAAAGAGTGTAAGATCCTGAGGAGATAGAGGACAACAGAAGAACAAGGCCCCCTGAACCAACTAGCCAAGTGTAAGAGAATTTACAGAGACTGAAGCAGCAGGCACAGGGCCTACATGGGTCTCCACCAGGTCCTCTGCATATGTATTATAGCTTTAAGCTTAGTATTATCATGAGACTCCTGAGTGTGAAAACAAATGGGTCTCTGATGCTTGTATCTGTCTTAGGACTCTTGTTGGGTTACCTTATCCAATTTCAATATGATGTTTATTGCTTTATTTTATTTTATTTTATTTTGTCATGCTTGGTTGTTTTGTTATCTCTTAGACGCCTGCTTCTTTCTTTCTTCCTTTCTTTCTTTCTTCCTTTCTTCCTTTCTTCCTTTCTTCCTTTCTTTCTTTCTTTCTTTCTTTCTTTCTTTCTTTCTTTCTTTCTTTCTTTCTTTCTTTCTTTCTTCTCTCTCTCTCTCTCTCTCTCTCTCTCTCTCTCTCTCTCTCTCTTTCTTTCTTTCTTTCTTTCTTGCTTTTTTTTGAGACAGGGTTTCTCTGAGTCACAGTCCTGTATCTCCTAGAACTGGATTTGAGGACCAGGCCAGCCTTGAACTCAGAGATCTGTCTATTTCTGCCACCTGGGTGCTGAGACTAAAGCTGTGTGTCACCACACCCCACTCCAAGTCTGCTCTTTTCTAATGAAAGAAAGAAAGAGAGTGGATATGGAGGGGAGAATAAATGTGGAGGAATTGGAAGGAGTACTGGGAGGGGAAAGTATAATCAGGATATATTGTATGAGAAAAAATCTATTTCAATGAAAGGAAAAAAATGAAAAACAAGATATGAGTGGAAATGTTATATGCTACAGAATTTCTGAATGCATCTTGGAACCAAAGTGAAGGGTACATGACACCTCTAAAATGGAAAGTGGAAAGAAAACAACAAATATCAAGAAAAAGTTTTTTTCTACTACCAAACGTTCCCTACTCTCCTGTTGTCCCCAAGACAGCTTAACAGAGAGTTTACAACCTATAAAGTAGGTACATACAAGGGATGAGTTACACACTTTAGAAGCAAAATGTTCTCACCCACAAAGACCAGGTTGTTGTAATTCTCCAACATCACATCAATGTACAAAGACCTCTGAGCAGAGTCCAGGCATTCCCACTCCTCCTGGGAGAAGTCCACAGTCACATCCCTGAATGTTAACATATCCTGAAATGAAAATTTACAGTTTGACCATGTGGTACCAGACAGAGTGCTTTCCTGGATATAAGGAGGATTAAAGGAAATCAGAGATTTAGATGAGCAAAGACAATCACTCAAAAAGACGATTTCTAATATAGTCACATTCTACAGTGCGTTTTCTAACTCTGTGAAAACAATACTACAATATTCTTACAAGCAATATACATGAAACAACACACATTTAAGGTCTGGACAAGGTCATCCATCTGTTATGGAAGCTGTGTTTATATCACACAGGATCACAGCATACATGTATCAGAAGGAAAATTCATGATGAGGAAATGTGACTTTAAATGCTGTACCTGTAGATCATGCTAAATATGGACACTAAATTAATCCTGTCTGTACTTGGGCCTTACATGACTGTATTCTAACAGGCTTAACTGGGATGTTTAAACTCTAGGTCCAATGTCACACCATTACAGAGAGAAGGGGTAGATATGGAAGGCAGAATTCATGACTGACCTTATAGGCCAAGAGTTGTTTTTTTTTTTTTGGTTTTTCGAGACAGGGTTTCTCTGTGTAGCTTTGCGCCTTTTCCTGGAACTCACTTGGTAGCCCAGGCTGGCCTTGAACTCACAGAGATCTGCCTGGCTCTGCCTCCCGAGTGCTGGGAAAGAGTTGTTTTTTGTTTTTGTTTTCTCCACAGTAAGAAAAAGTGTAGCAACACTTCAAACTGGCTATTATAACATTA